AGGAGATGATGAGCCCCATCAGGGTCCAAGCCCAGGACAATCCTTTTTCTCACAAGAGATGAGCACTTCAGTTGCTTTTCAGTGAAAGATCTGGGGTCTCCGAAGGCAGCTTCTGCAGAAGGAGGACTGGCTGCTGGATTCCTGCAATTGTGTAGCCCCAGCAGCATATGCTCTCCCCTTGGACAATAGAAGAGTCCCTGTGGCCCAGCAAGTCCTCTGTGGGGCTCCAGGGAGCTGTGAAGGCATGTGCAGTGACTGAAGAGTCCCCAGGGCACTAGATTTGTTGCTGAGCCAGACTTCATTGCAGTTCCCTCCTGCTTTGTGCATTCCCCATGTGTTCTATGCCCTTTGTCTGCTGCAACAGAGAAGGTGGGTAGTGAACCATTGGCACAGGCTGGCCAAGAGGCCAGCAGGCAACGCAGTGGCTGCAGTGACCTCTCCTCTGGCCCAGCAGGGTGGCCTCTTCCCCTCAACCTGCAGTGACCTCTCCTCTGGCCCAGCAGGGGGGCCTCTTCCCCTCAGCCCCACCCACCATGAAGTGCTCCCTGCGGTTCTGGTTCCTGTCTACTGCTTCCCTGCTTGTCTTTGTCATGTCTCTTCTCTTCACCTACTCACACCACAGCATCACCTACCTGGACCCCAGCAGCCTCAATGGCATCCACCGGGTCAAGCTGGTGCCTGGCTATGCTGGTATGCAGCGTGTCGGCAAGGGTGGGCTCTTCATGAAGAGCTGTGCTTGCCAGCAGTGCATGGAGGATGCCAGGGCCTCAGACTGGTTCAACAGCCACTATGACAGTAACATCTCCCCAGTGTGGACGAAGGAGAACATGGACCTCCCGTTGGATGTCCAAAGATGGTGGATGGTGAGTGAGTTCTGCTGGCAGGCTTGGGGTTAGTGTCCCCTTTACCACCTTTGTACCTTACTAGGAAGAGCCATTCAAACTTGTGGCCTGTGGGGAGAGAAAAGAAGTGGTACCCTAATACTTCACCCCCACTCCCTGCTAATGCTCCTGGGACACAAGGGATGGTCCTGGGTGAGCAGTGGATGTGGCTCCTACCTCCTCTCTGTGCAGCTTGTCTAACCCATAGGTCAGGAGCGTGCTGTTTCAGAGGCTCCCCAGTGCTAGGGGAGCCTGTGTGGGCTAGTCTGAACCCCATGTACTGTAGGAGACTCGCTCTGCCACCTATCTCTGTACAGAGGGGCTCTGGAAGTTCCTGACTGTTGTGTCTGTGACCCCAGATCAAAATGAGATCTTTCTCACCATCACCCCCTCTCAGCCCACCCAGGCACTGAGAGCCAACCAAAGCTATCCTCACCTGTAGGGCACTAATGAGCCAGCTCCTCCACTGTGGGTGTAATCCACTGCCTTCATGAGGGCCCTGTATTAATGCTGGGAGTGATGTAGGGATACTGAGAGGTAGGGGCAGCCCTGCAGTTGGAACAGGGAGTCCCCTAAAATGGGTCTGTGGAGGTGGCAATAATAAATTCTAGTATGGCAATGCTGCTGTCTGATCAGAGACCACCTACATATGTGTGGCAGGGCTGTGAGGAGCAGCTGTGTGCAAACATCCCCTTCTAGAAGAGGAGCTGAGTTGGCTGAACATGTAGAAAAGCTAATCTTGTAGAGCTTATGTCACTGCTGTAGAACAGAGAATACCTCTCCCCTCCCCCCATAATCTCCCCCAAATACTGTAGCCTGTGGAACAAGTGGATGGGCTTCAGCTTCTAGCCTGAGTGGAGAAGCAAGGCAGGTCAGCAGTGAGAACACAGAGCAGGGCTGGGGGGCAAGTCTTTGAGCCAGATACCATTGCCTCATCCTGTGTTGGGTGGCCTCTGTGCTCAAGGTGCTGCCACTCAATCCACTGGCACCCTGCATAACGTTCTGCCTCTGGAGCTTCTCCCTTTACACAGCAAGAGGTTTTCCCAGGGAAACAGTGATGCACTGAAAACAAAGCATTTAATTTAAATCCCATGCTGCTGCAAGCAGCCAGCCTAGCACTGAAGTGGCACGTACCACGGGAGTTTGGAGGACAGTTACACTTGGTGCCAAGGAAGGTGTGTGTGTGCATATGGGTGGAGAGGAGTGTGCCAGTCCAGACAATCTACCTGGGACCAGTCTGCGTGGGGGAGGGGAGCTGCTAATGGCCTTCTTAGACTTGGTTTTGTTGTCTGTTGGATGACTTGGAGTTGAGGGGGTGGGGCACATGGAGCCTAGGCAAAGCTCTCTATCCCAGAGCTGCATGGCCTGTCCTGCTTGCGGCAAATGATGGAAGCACATGCTGATAACGCATGCACCTCCTGCTCCAGAAAGGAATGACAATTAAACCATCATGTCCTTGTGCTGTACGAATGCAGTAAAGGGACTGGAAGCGTTTGGAGGCAGGAAGCAACTGTAAATGAGTTGCAGCTTCCTGCCTCCATCCCTGGGTGTCTGCTGGAATCCAGCTGGTGATCTTTATTAGAGCGATAGGCTCTCTAAGCAGTAACGGCTTCTCTTCTTCTTCTCATCCCTGGCTCCCATGATGTACAAGGCCCTGGGGGTCTGTTTTCCTGCTCTCTCCATTCATTAGGTGAATCTCTTAGCTCCTTCTGCAGTACTGGCCCACAAATCTGTCTGTGGAGTCCAACTTGCTGCTCCTGAGAGTCCATTAAGTGATGCTCTGTGATTAGTGATGGAGTTGCAGGCTGGAGACAATAGCTCTTTCTTTGCCAGCTCACTGCTGCAGCTGGCCAGCTGGAGCTGCTGCTACAGCTTTCTAACGCATCCTCGGTGGGACACCCAGCCTGCATTCTCAGCCCCAGCCATATGTTTTTAAGCCTGTATTGTGTCTGTTGGGAGATGAATGGGCTTGCTGGATGAAGAGGCCACTATCACTCTGGTATAGCCTCATATCTAACACTGCTTCCAAAGGCGGGCTTGGATAGACCCAGCAGAAAGAGTTTCTTTGCTCCCAACCTTGAGCTCTCCTGCAGCTTCTCGTGGAGTCACACAGTCCCTCTATTAGACATCAGGAGACCACTGCAATGGTTCATGTGCTGTTGTGCCACAGTTCATTCACACTGGGTCTCTACAGCCCTGGGTTCCTGCCAGACTCCTCGAGCCCTGCTTCTGACCCAAGCCCTGGAGCTGCATCAGGGCAATGAGCTGTTTGCCCAGCTCCTCCTTGGTAACCTGAGGGGAGAGGCCTGAGGGATGATTGCTTTTCCGAGCAACAGAAAGCTTGCTTCTGCTGCCCAATTTGAAAACAGCTTTAATGTTGTGAGTATATCTGCACTGGAGGCAGCAGGGCAACATTGGCATGAGCTTGGGCATCTTTTTACAGTGCTGCATTGTGCCATGTAAGACCAGCCCCTTTTCACTCCATCAGTCTACTCCTTGAGTGTCTTGGGATTCAAACCTTCTGCTCCCCTGACCAGGTGTTTACTCCAGACTTGAGCCCTGCAGAGCTAAGACAATTAAGGAAGAAACCGAGCTGGACTCCATCCTTGCTCACAGAGCAGATAAGGTCCAAGTGCAGTTCATTCAGTGACTGGAGGATAGTGAGAAGAGCCACACTTAGGACTCTGATCCAGGCTGTGAGGCTGGGCTGGAAACAGCTTCTCTGGGTCCTTTTAACAAGCATGTCCGATCTGGGGGCTGGTTCTTTACAGTCCTCATGGGCTTATTCTTCTGGAAGAGTGCTTGAGCCTCACTAAAAGTTTTAAAATAACCTTCCAAAAAAGCCTGGCCATGACCCCCTCCTGAAAGCAAGTGCAAGCATTGTGCTGTCAGACACTGAGGGACACTTGCTGGAGACAGAGGAGGTTCGAATCCCTGAAGCGAAAGAGGGGTAAGAAGCTTTAGAAGTGTTCATACACTAGCAAGGATGCCCACCAGCCTTGCTATTGGATGGCAAAGTATTCCTTTATAACAGGACTCGCCCCCCCCTCCCCCTGCCCCCCCCCTAAAATGCCAGCTCTTAACTGTCACTCTTTTTTGACTACAGAAAAATACTAGAAGCAATTCTTCTGCTGCAAAAAATTCAAAGCCCACATCAAGTCAGAATATTTTTAACACTGTGCAGTTCATTTGTAATCTCTGATTTATCTTGTGAATCATGTTTGCACATTTAACAGTGTTAACACTTGTGTGACGCCCTCCAGCACCCTTGAAAGAATCTCAAGGCATCCCAGGGTGCCATAGCACCCTTGTTGAGAATCCTAGTCCTATACCAGTGCTTCCCAAACTTTTTTCCCCCTCAGTATGACCCCATTTATGGCCCTGTTTCCTCAGCATAGTCTCTCACTCCCAACCCACAGCCCCCCCCCCCCCCCCCCCCCCACCCCATCTGCTGATGTTGCAGCCCTATTTGGGGTTGCTACCCACAGTTTGGGAACTGCTGCCCTACACCATTGGGTGTGATAGCCCCACATACCTGACTGACACTTCCAGGTGGATCATGCTGTCTTGCAATGCTGATAATAGTTCAGAGTTCTGACTTGGTCAGTGTGGAATGGAGGAACGTGGATCAGGAGGCTGTTGCGGCCCTTTGCCCTGCAGGAAGATCAGCCTGTTTGCAGAATGGGAGGAGGCAAGGGTCACAACTGCATGCTGTGTAAGGTCTCATCACTTAAACATCTTAGGGAAGGGACTCTCACATTTTGGATTGGGCCTGCCACAGCAGGCCCGTATCTTGGCTGAGACCTGTGACCATTTAACATTTGCATTGCAAAAACACATTATTAAGGAAATGTTAAATTTATAACTCTATCCTACCATGTAATGGTTTTAAGGGAAACAGGACCCTGGTGCATAGCGTTCACGTTGGTACGTAGTTGTGGGATGTTCAAGCAGTCCAGTCATCTAGTTAATATTGTGTGTGTGTGTGTGTGTGTGTGTGTGTGTGTGTGTGTGTCAGTGTCATTCTCAGCCAGAGAGAATGCTGGGATGGATGACTTCCATTTTGACTGTGGCCAGGGCCCCGTTCTGGCAGGTACTGTTTATGCCAAGAAGACGGCCCTTTGCCACAAAAGATCACCGTCAAAGGATGCGCCTAAGCTCCCAGACTGGGCCACTCCCACTGCGTACTTACTTGTCCACTCGTACATACCAAAGCCATGACATGCTTTTGAGCAATTGCATGGGGCACCCCACAGCTGCTTTACTGCTGTCTCTTTGGGTTCAGTGCTAGTATGTGGGAGCCAGTGTCTGGAGCATGCTTGGAAGCAGCCCTCCCTGGGAGTAATGGGGACAAAGTGCATACATGCTCTAAAAGACCAAGCATAATGCAGTTCAGGAGAGCTGAGATGACAAGAGGATGGCTACAATTCTTAGCCACTCAGGATCAACAGATACACCAGGCAACCTCCCTCCTTGTGGGAGGCCACTGTTACAGGAGAGGAGGACTCTTGAAGAATGTTTGTGGCATGTTCTTGGACCATGAAAATAGCTTCATGGTCAAGCTGCTGGCCTGCTATGGAAACTGGCATTCAGTCCCCTGCTCTGCCACAGCCTTCCTATGGGATCTCAGCTAAGTTACTAGTGCCTTAGCTCCCCAGTAGTGATTGTAGGAACGCAGTCAAGCCCTGCCTCATAGCTGGGGCATCAGTAAATGCAGTGCTCAAGCCAGCAGGAGCCATTGAAAGAACGATATAGAGAAGTAATGGGAGATGCCTATGTGTATTCTCTTTGTGGCTGTCCTTCCCGTCTCACTGCTCAGCATGCAGACTTGAAATCGCTTGGTTTGTGATGTTAGGGAGGTGAACAGTTTGGACTACCTGCTCTCCTGTTTAACTTATGTCTCCTTTAACGGCTGCTGGCTGTCATTCCCGCCAAGGGAGTTCCTGGCTCTGTATTGATCCTTTCCTCTCCTTAGTCTATGG